TTGCAGAACGGTATTTTCCTGAAAGAAGGATCACTCTTTAAGACTCATACAATCAAGAGTTAACATTTGTGACTATCATTTAATAAGAAATCTCAGAGCATTATTTTTAACAATAATGTTTCTTTCATCATTCTTTTATAGTGGTGTCCTACCCAGTATTAAAGGGGGTTTCCATTTTTTAATCATACTAGCATTTTATTCTTTATCTATTGGCACTGCAGTAGTTTGGTGCTTCTGTTATTTTTTGTAACGTGATGGTATCTGTGCTATCAAGGTTGCTCACTTCCTTTGAACGTGCCCTATTAACACAAACACACTATGAGATGAAATAAAAACAGAGATAAATCAACCTAATTTCTGCAGAGCGGCAATGAATCCTTCATTCCACTAGAATGTCAGGTATTCATGTCTCAGAAAAAAATGAGGACAAGAATAATCTTTGGTCTTAAAGAACACAAGGGAAGCACTTCAAAATCATTCAATAGCTTGTTCTCCTATTCTGCAAATATATCATACTTTTCAAGATTTCAGTGGCAACAATGAAAAGTAAATACCTCCAAATACTGTTAACTTTTTCTGCCAATAGTTTTACAAAAAAACCACAATGTCAACAAGTAAGCACATGTTCTTTTCACAAAAGCAAATAAAGAATAAAGCAGAGAGTATAATCTACAGGTACCGGATATCCACTAGATAATAAAATCAAGTTACTGGAGTATAATGTATGTGTTACATTACTTCTCCCTGCTCTGTATAGTATATTAAAGCATTATGTTGATTTATAGAGAAAGGTCACACCAGCATTTACAAGGTCAAGAGTTTTAAGCAAGTATATATTTACTGCTATTAAACATTTCTATCCCAAAGTAAGGAAACTGTACTGTATCCACTGTTCGTACTGCACAGAAGGAGAGAAAAAGTATGTAGCAGCTAGGCCAAGAGGGGTCCAGCTTCAAATTAAACATCCACCAATTTTGGTTCCTGGTCCAAAATTATGACTAAGAACAGCCACCTAACTATGGAAATAAGCACAGCTTGGTAAGACCCTCCTTGTCTAGCCCTAAGAGATCCAAAAGACTGTGCAACATAGAAGAGAGATTATATGTCCAATGGCTGATTGTGTCTAAAATACACATATTTGCAATATAGGTCTTCAACCACAAGAAGATGTTTGTGTTTTCAGAGTGACACTACCATTTTCAGGCTCTGCCTCTGCCCCTTCCACTATATTTAAGAATATACAAACAAAGTATTTCCATATTAATTTTTCTTCAATTGCAAAGCCATGCCCAACCAATTATACAAAAGAGCTTTAAGAGGAAATGTATGAAAATAAGGGAAAATGAACATAAGGTTTAAGAAGTAGGAATTCAGCTCTCTGTCTTTCAGTGACAAGCCATATGAAGGCATCCCCAAACTGTTCAGCACATTCACAGTTCCTGAGCTGGGACTTTGTTTTTCATACAAATAGCAATTTCAGGGCCACTCAGCATCATCCGAATATTTCTTTAATGGCAGCAGGGAACGCTGAGGCTATGAAAGGAGTGCAAAGTGAAATGGCTGGCTCTGTAACTATGAGGAATGGGGATATTTCAGAATGAGATTACTGAATGAGGTCAACAAAGCACATTTGTAAAAGAGATGTGGCTGAAACAGCCTAACCTGATATTTTAAAGGCTTTTAAAATCCCATATCAAAAGCTTCTATAGAAATCCAACAGTCAGAGCTTTAGGGAAGGTCTTTATGTTGATAAATAACTCGTTAAAAGACAGGAAAGAGAAGGTAAGCAGGTTAGCCAGACAGCTCTTGCAATGGACAGAGGTCATTAGCGGAGTTCCTCAGGGATTGGTGCAAAGGATGCAGTTCTTCATCATATTCTTAAGTATTCTTGTGAAACGAGTGAGATGTGAGGTGAGAAAGCTTTATAATGATATTAAGTTATTCAAGTAATAAGGATGATGACTGTGCTGACCATGAAGAACTGAGAAGAGTCCTTACGGAAGGAAGTCGCTAGCAAATAAAACAGCTGATGAAATATTCTGTAGATAAATGTAAAGTAATTCACAAGGGGCAAAAGAATTCTAGCTTTACATTAAGATACTGTGGCCCTCATTGGACCATCATAGCCCAGGAGCAAGATTTTGAGGTTATGACAGATAGCACATCTACAGATAGCAAATCATAACCACCAGCACTAAGATGGAAATATTGCCTTAGCACTACATATTGCCAATATGCTCTGGGTATACTCTGCAAACTTTTTTACTCTGTAAATTTTGAGCATGCTTTACCAACGGGCGTTTTCATCAATGTGCATGCTGTCCACTCTCCAGTGCTACTAATACCTTTACACTTGCCAACGTACATTATTTTGATGTTCTGAGATTTAGCTGCCCTTTAATGCTGTATGTTCCATAGACTGATTCATACACTTTGCACTGCAGAAGCAATCTCATTGTTCTCTTTTTCTCTGAGGATCTAAACATCTGAGATCAGAAACATGAAGAGATTTCAGACAATCTTTGCATATGAAAAGCCTGAGGAGTTTGACACTTACACCAATCAAAAGCATTGTTGCTGATGGAAACATGGATTGCAGCTCTATATAGAAGCACTCACATTAGCACCATGTAACATGGCATTTCTCTCAAAATTAAAATGACTTAAACTCAATGTCACTTTTTGAAGGCTGTTAGAATATGCCTTCCCTCCAAATCCAATTTTGATTTTAATTTACATTCAGACAATTCTAATAAGAGACACAGGGAATAAAGCCTACAAATACTTTAAAAATTTCTTTGGCAATGGGGAACATGGGAGAATGACAGAGGGAAAGGGAAGCAAATACTAAATGTTAGCAAAGACAGTAATCTCAGCAGTGATGGACAGTCTATATCACGTGTCGTTGAGAAAACATTTATTTGTAGTGCCAGGAATTGTGACTTTTTTGAAAATTCATCCTCATTTATACTGCATTCTATTGCTGCTTTGTAGATGAGGAAGATAATGATAATAAAGGAACATACAAAACAAGTGATGCACAACTCAACTGCTCACCACCCACCAACTGATGCCCAGCCAGTTCCTGAGCAGGGCTTCAATCAACCTCCCCAAACTGCCTCAGCAATCTCTCCTAGTCTACTCCAATAGAATCTCATCTGGTACAATCCAATTTTACCTCTGTTACTGAAAAGACCTGGGAGAGCTTTGAGTACACAGGAAGGGATCACCGCTGCACATAAAACTTTTTTTTTTTTTTGGTGGGGGGAGAGTGGGGCAAATGAGAAAAGAGGGACTGAAAAACTGGAATGCAGTGTGAATTGTATGTAATATGTTGTCAGAACTCTAATACACACATGTCCCTCTCAATTCAGCTTAGTTTATGCATCAGAGATCAAGCTAAAAGTTTTCAGAAATAGCCATAGAATTTTATTACTGATTCTGCAGAAATCCACATTAATGGTCAATCATTATAGAATCATAGAATCACAAGGTTGGAAATTACCTATAAGATCATCTAGTCCAACCGTCTTCACACTACCACTGCCACAATAACAGTCAGCATGTGTATTGACTCCTTTTTGTAAACTTGTATGTATAGATGATTTGTTCTGTACTTGATTTTTGTGGCTATCATTTCACAAAGCCTAATTTGTCTCAGACAAACTACTGACACATCTAAACAATATGCTGAAAAAATCATTCATGCTCTTTTTTTTTCCCTTGTCTGTTACACAGTATGTTCAAAATATGTGGAGGATACATGATAAACTGACATAAACTCAGATCCCCTTCTCAGACTATTCCCACAGTTTTGTAGAACATACTCTTGAAAGTCTTACAGTGATTCTTATTTGAAACTATTTCTATAGGGATTTTTCCTAACACCTACCAGAGTCTAAAATAACACTTTCTACATGCTGTGCTGAGATATTTTCCTACCACGCTTGTGATATGTGATGAACATTCACAATTGGGTAACATTGCCTGTTTTAATGAATCCCCCTAGAATTATGTTGATCATTTTGAGTAGAAAAACTGAGGTAGCAGTGAATCATTAGGGAAAAGTTATTAATTTAATTAATAAGACAAATTGTGCAAGCTTAAAAATCATGGTCTTCTTACTTCAGTATAAACAAATGTAGTGACTTCAGTGACTAATGTAATAGTCAACAATTAGCAAAATTCTTACCTACAGTTATTGGAAAAATATGATCTTACAAAAAAAAAAAAAGCAAAAGTAACAAGAATTCACTTTTTATCTCTTTGTATTTAAGAAATGCTTTTCCTGAATAACAAAAATACATTTGGATCTCCTTCATTTTAGTTCCCAGCTGACATTTTCTGGTTCTCTTTCACCAAGAAGCTATGTAGGTAGCCCCTATTTCAGGAGATAACTTTTTTAACAGTTATAATTCAAGAGAAAAGCAGACTCATAAACACATCTAATTTTTTGCAAAAACTTATTCTTCTAACCTTCAAACTAGAGACAAATTTAATCTGATAGATTCATGTCAAACAGGCTACTTTCAAATTCTGGGATGTAAATGGCTTGCTTGCTTTCCCTCACCTCCATCATTCTTTATCACGTCATTCAGTCATTTTTTCTTCTTTATAGTCCTTTCAATTAGTCTTGTTTATCTTGAGCTGTTACTCACTGTTTAACCAGATAGCAAGTCATTATGTTATTTCACAACAAAACAGGACCACCAGGATGTTTTTACTTAAGCCCTTGCTGTCCTTAGAAAAATTCCCACTCGTAACAGAAGGAACAAAGTGGTGCTGTAGCTCCTGAAACACTTTCTGACTTCCAGCTACTTAAATATCCTGCCATTAGGCCTCTTTACCTATGTTTGCCTTTGTTTCCAATTTCCCTGAGTTGAAACATTTGAATACTCCAAGAAGCTGAGTTTTAGCCCTTATCTTTTCCTCTCTTCCCCGAAACTAAGACATTTACTTCACTTCTTTTCTCTTTTAAAATGTAATATTGTATTTCTTACCATCCATGCTGTGACAAAATCTCCCATCCAAGTCCCAACTGCAGCTACCTTCATAAAATTTTCATTCCTGATGCCCATGAAGTCTGTTATAATGTATGCACTGTGGAAAAAAGAACACAGATTGTAAGCTACACACGTTTGCTTAATGTAGTTATAAAGAATTTGCTTTAGCAACAAAATTTATGATTACTGTGAAAGATCTCCCATTTCCTGCATAATCACTTTTTCTGCTAGATCTGAACCTTGACACAGTACTGAACTAGGATGGGTCAATTCCAATTAGAAATGGAAATGTGATTTTACAGCCCACATCTCTTCTGAAGGTGCTAAAATACTGACAGGTAAAGGCTTTAGGATTATGTAGGGCTCTGGAAATAAAAACAATTTTACACTTTTTACCTCTTCCCTGTACAAATGGAATTGCAACATTCTCAGTATTGGTAGCTTTGCAAAATCTTGTTGAAGAAAAATGAAAATCCTGAATGTCTCTTCAAAGAGATAATTGAGTCACCTGACTTTCAACTCCACCAGCTATACAACCATGTGTTTTTAGACACAGTAGTGCAAGCAAGCGTTAGAGAATTTCAGTGAAAAGCAGTGACTTTTTGATGCATACAATGTATTTCCAGAGATATATTTTATTTAAATCCAAAAGAAATATTTCTATTCTATTTAAATAAAAACCTTACGCAAGTATTTGACCTCAACACTCAAGTTCATTGTGGCAAGAAGGTAAAGTTACCTGCTGGAGTAAAAGCTCTTTGGGAGAACGCACAGCTTTGAATATAGTCATATTCTTTGCTCAAATGCTTTTATAGCGTTTAGGAAGACATGACTGCCCTCAGGAACTAAAACACTGAATAATGAAACTGTTTTCAAGATGCTTGGAAATATTGCTTATATAATGCTGTGCCTACATAAGGTTGTGCACAACCAACCCAGCTGCATGTAGCAGCTTCTATGATCATTGTATTATTCAAACCTTATCGTTACTACATACCCAGGAACGTAATTTATAGGGTCTAGTGGACAATATCTGAGCAACTGGACCAGTGCAAGCTTGATCCCACTTGTTGGGGCAGTCATATTAAAATTTAGATTTTTGATTGAGATACTGGGTCTTGATCACACATATCAATGCACAGCACTGTGCTGCTACTTAGATACGAGTTGTTAAGTTGCAGAGTAGAAATACTGATGTCATTGAATGGTTTCATATAAAATGGCATACTCTAATGGCTCTTTTGATTAAATACATTTGGTGACCTTTTAGAGAACACATTACTAACAAAAAATCTCAATTTTTTAATGAGATGAACAGCATATAAATGCTGGCTTACACTTTCTGCTGGAGTGGAGAAAAAAAAAAAAAAGGCAGTTTTTCCAAGCTATTTTTAATGATTTTTCATGTAGTTAATAGGATCATTCATGCTGTAAATGTGCTGCATTGCAAATAAGGATTCAGGAACACAAGATCAGCTATGCTGGGTCAGTCTAAAGTCTCTCTGTTCCAACATCCTTTCTTCAAGAGAGGGAAATAACAAATTCCTAGAGAAGACCGTAAGAACACACAAGAATACATCTCCCAGTTGCAGAGAGATGGGGAGAGTGCAACTGTAAAACATTTAAAATTCCCTTTTTCCCTGCATTTTCAGTATGACAGTTTTGTAATATTTTGTAAAGGGGAACAATAATTAAGTCTGCACTGCTTAAGGAGGTGTCTCATTAACAAAAACAACAGTATGAATGTCAGTTGTAAGGACTGGCCCCCCAAAGCAACCTTTTTGTGTAAAACACATGCAAAAAAAACCCATGGTTCTCACCTTTTTTTTATTCCCATTACTCATATGCATAAAACATTGAAATATGCATTATACATGACTACAGGTGTACAGAAACCAGCCGAACATTTACACAGCACTCCTGAAAAACAGCCACCTAGCTAACTCCTACAGCCCCACTGCTCATTGTGAGGAGCGGTGGCAGCCTGATGTATGCATGATTGGTTATCTAAAAAGGCTGAGAGGCAAATAATCACTGCATATAGGTATTAGCAAGTGGAAGAAATACCACACTGTACACATAAACAATTTCTTTTAATGTAAATGGAAATTTTCCATGTAGTCACTTGTTTTCAAGAACGTAGTAACTCAAGCCTTAGAATAGCATCAGGTAAGTGGTAGACTATAATCAAATGCAAAAAATGGCCTTGAAAGCAACAGATCATCCTCACAGTCATTTCTGAAATTTGAAACTTGAACATTTGAAACATGGCAGCATGCAAAATGCTTAGTATAAACTGTGCACCGTATTCTATAATTAATCAATGCCTATGCTAAGTCTGCAAATTAAGCGAGCTTCAGTTAGAGCAAAGTAACATTATTTTAAAAAAAACTCATAACAACATAATCTGTGCATAATTCAAGTGCATTTACTGATTAAAATAAAATTACAACCTTTTATGGAATACAGCAAATGTTTTTAGGACCATCATTAGCTTGTTAGAAATAGTAACAAAACACACTTCTATTTTATTAACTATTAGCATTACAGCCACTCTTTGCAGTATTATTTTAGCCTCAAAATAAAAAGTTCACTTTAAAAAAAAAAAAAAAAAAAGCTTTTTTGGTGGATAAAAAAGAGAAAAACATCTAGTTTTAATTTTCAACTTTTAATTCAAATACAAATGAGAGTAGCTGACATTTTAAAAAAGTCACGTGTGCCTGATGACATCACCAGGTTACATATTTTTACCAGCACCAGAAGTAATACTATATCTATTGTGGAAAAATCTCCACAGTTTTCTGGCTTTAGCTTGTAGTTAAAGCAGTTTTCTGTTACTGTCATTCCACAGCTAAGACTCTTGTCTGCACCTTGTAGGATGGTTAATGACCATTGGGTGATTGGGTTTCAGCTAGCCTTCCATGGCCAGCCTGAGTTTTACATAGTTTGTCAAAAAGCGTCTGTTTGCTTTGCCATACTTAAATTCTGTAGCAAGGCACATTCATATTGCATGAGCAGCACAACCTAAGAAAACACTAACAGGAAAAACACTGCGGTTAAAATTCATAACAAAGTAAAAAGCTCCAGAGAAACAAAGAGGATATCTGTAAATAATTAAATGTTGAGAGGCCCATATTTATGAATACTGTATATAAAGGACAATTTTTCATCTGGTACTTGGAACAAACCTACTACTAATTACTGATAGTACAAATGGAAGCAGTTAAGGAAGGGAAAAAGCTCAAAATGCTCTTTCCAGGCTAAAGCCTACAGCAGGTAGACCACAGTTTTCACACAAAAGCAAACCAGAGAGAAAAACAGAAGTTCTGAGGCAGAAAGAGCCCCAAATCCATTATCATCAGGTGCTGTCTACGTCCAAAGGGTAAATTAATAACAGGCAATCAGAAAGAAGATGTATGAGCACAATGTATTTGATCACTTTCTTGGACTCGGCACCCGAATGGGCAGAGAACAAAGAGAAAAATAACAGCACTATCCCAGAATTTTTTTTCAAAGCAAGAAAGATTTTGAAGTCTTTTTTTCTTTTTCCTAAGGATGACACTTCAGCAGCTGTCTAAATGACTAACAGTCTGAAAGCACGTGGAACACTTTTAATTTCAGTACAGATGTACAAGCCACTGTGATGCTAATAACACTGTTACACTGAAACAGGATCCTAAGCGTGGGATTTAACTTGAATTCAGACACATCCAGAAGTGCAAGTCAGGGATCCATACACTCAGTGGAGTCCTAATCAGAAAAGTAAATGAAGATTAGAGCATGATTTATCAGTAACCCACTGTAGATGTGCTAGGTGAAGGATGCTTACCTTGTTACTGCAGGATAGTCAAAACAGTATATTCATATACCAAAAGCTTTTGTTAAACCCTGGCGACTAAATCATTCCAAGAACTGTGACATACTCTATTCTCCAGTTGATAATCCAAAGGGATCTATATCTGCTGCAAATCCTGTGACACAGCTGACAACCCAGACATTTTTGAATTGAACCCTAGATCCCTATGGACTGCAGTGAGAGCATTGATACCGATGGGAGGTTAGGGTTGCCTAGGTGCAGGGATTGAATGCCATTTTAGGGACCTTTGTGAAGTCGGTTGGCTTTTTACACAGTACCTAGGGCACAGGGCTGTGCCATGTGCTATATGCCATTCTGTACACTTACAATAACTGCATGCATAGTGTGGTTGCTTGAGATGATTCCAAGAGGGAAATGGGCATAGATGTCTTTTATCTCGAGTCATAATAGGTCTGTACATGTTCAGCAGTCTAATACATGCTTTTCTAAGGCAGCTTTCTTATCTGGTAGTCCTACTAAATAGAGGATTATCTATTGAATTCATCTTGGTGCACCTGACAAAGTGAAGTGCCTTGACTATAGCCAACAAGGGACAGCACGGAAGTTCACAGTTCACAGAGATGCATGTGCTTTGACATATCTCCACAAGCTGCCGTTATTCTTGATTTCACAGAGCTAAAGAGTAACAGAATAATTGAAAACATACACAAAAGACTGAGGATACAGTTTCTGATCCATATTTGGCCCTCTAAAATAACAGAATGGCAAATGAGAATAACGTAGCTCAGCTGAAAAGATATTCCTCTGCTGCTAGAAACTGGAGTCACAAGGAACTGAAAGATGCACAGAGACTAGACCTACATCCTATAAGCAAACATGCCATAAGGAAAATGGCATTAACATAGCTACTTGCCCATAGTTACAGACAACCACATGGCCACTAGCCCTTCTGAGTGCACTGAACCAGTTACCTTGCTTGACAGAGTGTCAGAGAGTTAACAGCTACACGAGGCTCAGCAGACTAATCTCCAAACACAACAAATCCAGCATTCAATAATAGCTTGACCACTGCAGGGCTCCCTTGAGATCCATCCATGGCCCAGTGCAAGACACCTGAGACTAATGAACTGATGTTGAACACTGCTTGTTGGTAACTTGTTTATAAATGTTGTTTTTTTAAAAAAAATCAGGTAACAGATCTGTGATTCTGAAAACCTCTGCTCATCAGCCTACAGACCCAGGGGGGCTGCCTTACTTTCTCTGCAGACTTAGGTTTTAAG